TGTCTGTGCTGTTTGTCCCTCAGCCTACACAACGTTGTGATCCTACTTCCTGGACAGATTGAATGGACCTTACTTTCACTAGAGCATGGACAGACCTTTTCCTTTAGCTTGTTTTCGTAGGCTTAGTGAACATATCGACGGTTGTACCTCTGTATGAAGCCACTTGAAGCGGCATGTACACAATAGTCGTACACATGTGTAACCCATTTTAAAACTGTGTTATTCTTACCTTCTCCGCTCCTGGCTTTCATTGGATTAAGAAATGCACTATTGTGTGGGGCATATAAGCCTGTGCGTTGTGTCCATCCCTCCCCCCCTCTCTATAAACATGGCTGCATAATAAAATGGTTCTGCAGACAATAGACAGAGAGATGTGGGAACCTGCACCGCCTGGCACTAAGCAGAGAACCAATCGGCCCTTTACAATAGCAGATGCCCTATCTCCTGGCCAGTTGTGCTTTGTTTTTTGTGTATTTGCAATTCTATCTCTGATTCCATAACGCGTTTCTATTTGGTGTTCTTTTTTTTATCAGTCTATATTAATTTCCTTATTCTTTAAGCCATCGCTTTCTGTTCTGTGTAATTAACCATTAAGTGTTAAGAAGAGCTATAATTAAAACTTTGTTCTAAGGTTGCTGAGAGTGCTTCAGCTGGAGGGTTTAATGTAATTTATAGTGCACTTGATACCGATGCTCGCTTAATTTGCTCTCGTTTTCAGGTTCAGTTAGATGTGCTAAGGCCACCGCCATCCCCACATAGAAGGCACAATTTGGTTTTCACAACACAAGTGTAAGCTAGCTCATAAGAATTAGTTAAAGCAGCCAACGAGTGTCGTGGTCAGTCGCCTGGCAGTCTGTCTGGATGGACAAAGAATGATTGCTAAATAATTAAAGTAAATCCCCTGACATCTGTGATCACCGTCAAGGCAAAGTTTGTGCTCGACTGAACAATTCGACCTGAAACACTCCGGTGTCTGTAGATTTCTTCAAAACTTATCTCGGAGTGAATATTTGTAAAATATGTTTTGTATTGTAAATTGTGAGCTTATGGAACGAAACGGCACCTGCAGAGGGGCTTAGTAAGCAAAAAAAAAAACATCCTGCTTCTGCAAATCTGTTAGTCGCTCAGGTGAGTTTGAATGCAAGAGCATGCAACGTTACACATCGACCACAGATTTCATCGCCTTTTTCACTAGTTTTGAGTGTTACGAGCACATTCTTCACTTTCCTCCTTTAATCTTTTATAGACCCACTTTCATCTGAGGGATTTCCCTACTTTTCTCCAGTTTTTTTTTCTTTTCCTTTCCTGGCTGGTCTTTCTCTGTGAACCCCACCCCCCTCCACCTCTTCAAAACCACTTACCCATCCATCATGGATTAAGGATCTCTCCCCTCAAAATGAAAGACGCGTCTCATTAAATGTATTTATGTTTGTGGGGAGCGGCGTCTCTCACACGTACTGTTTTTCTTGCCGCTTACACATTTCAGATTGCCATTTTTGCTGCCTCATTCTTGTGTGAATACGCCAACACACACATTACTTCCCTCTCAAGAGAACATTAATTCTCATTTTCAATTCTGATACTTGTTAAATACAGATTAAGCCAAGGATTGTTACACATTACCCAGCTGGAGAGTGATATAGCAGCACTTTTCCTGATAAATGAAACGTTGTCTCAGCTCTCTTTGTGACGGCGTGGCTTTAAATCTATCGTGATTGTTCTGGAGAAGTTTTTGATGTGATCATCTACGGCTTGAGGAAGCAGCAGCGTGGATGCATCCTTGTTACTACAACAACACAAACAGAAGCTCTATGAAGCAAGCCGGAGCTGAGGGAATTGCGTCGGTATCTGTCTTCATCTGCTTACCTTACCAGACTGGCAGCGGTAATCAGCTGTCAGCAGATTAACACCTATATCGGTCTTATTGATCAAATTGTCACGGCAACAAAGGCTTCCCAGGAGTTTGGGGAGTTCCTTTAATACATTTGCGTGTCTACGAATGGCAAAGATTTAGCAAGTGAGATACGTATCAGATTAAAAAGGAATGGCTTTTGTTGTTTTATTAATATTTAAAAGGCGAAGTGGCCTTATCTTCAGATTAGCCCGCTAATTGTTTTTGGTGGCTACCTTTCTGCTTGTGCATTTAACCGCATTAAAACAAATACTAAATCTAACCATCTTTCTAAACTAGTTGGGACTTATTAATTGTAATTTGATTTTCAAACACATCACCTTCCCCTGGCCTGAATTTGATTCCTTTAATAACCAGTGTAAACTTGTAACCTGACTTAATTCGGAGCACAGGTTTTCCCAGTCCCCTGCCTTCTGTTGGAGCAGTGGTCGCCATCCAGTACAATAAACTGCATCTTGATAGTCACATTGGAATATACTACCTAGAGTCCAAGGCCTTGTGGCGGCAGAAACAGGAGAACTGGAGTCCCAGAACCAAAAACTATAATTATGTCTTTCTTTAAAAGGTTGCTGGATTCTTTAAAAGTCACTGCCACTATAGTCTATGGTAACAGGAAAGAAAACAAGATGGATGGGGAGGACAAACTGTGTACTAGAGAGAAACATTTGGTTTTAGTTGGAAGAGAGAGATGAAAGAAATGGAAAAGAAAGTGTAGAGACAGATTGGATGGAGGGGAGAGATTTGGAGGGGTGAGATAGAGGAGTGGAAACAAGGAAATGGCAAGGAGACAGAAACAAGACTGGGGTGGGTAGGTGGGGGGGTAAAAGAGACAGAAGACAAGAGATGAGGGATCAAGATGGATAAAGGCCCAGAGGGAGAATAAAACAGCGAGCAGAGAAAGACAGGCAGGAAGAAGAAAAAAAAGACAGGGAAATACAGAGAAAGGGAGCTGTGGGGTTATGGAGCAACCTGCTGATGGAAAGACGGGGGGTAAACGGGTGGAAACACAGTGGGTAGGACAGGCAGGAAAGGGGGCAGGGCGGCGTGCATTCACCGTCTTTGCAGCGCGATTGGCCGAGACAGCGTCAGGCGGGCTGAGCTGAATTTAATCAGAGATGTGCGTCACCAGCTGCAGTTCCAAGCCAACAGTCAGGCAGCTACTGCTGGAGGGGGGGCAGGCTCCCTTTTCTCTCCCTGCATTTGACTAAAACCTCATCGGTGGAATGGGCTTGCAAACAACTGTGTCTTTTTGCCTTTATGTGCATAAAACACCCCAATGTTCTCGATAAATGCCCGTCTGTGCCGCCGCGGAGGTATGTGCGTCTGTGAAGGACACCGATAGACGAGAGAATAAAAGAAAGCAGATGATATTTTGGTCTCGAGTGCTTACAGATGGGTAGTTTTTCTCCATTTGAAGTGGTTGCGTTTTGAATCCGTCTTTGTTACCGCAAATGAGAGTTTCCTACCTACCGCTGCTGTTTCAGCAGGTAGGCAGTCTGGGAAGGCCTCTTGTTTTTTAGCTGGGCTTTCAGACGAGCTCTTGGCAGGGACAGTGAATACCTCTGTGGTCTGAATTTATTTTAACCTCCAGTGCGGTGCTGTTGGCCCGTGTGTGCGTGTCACTGTGTGGTTAATTGCGAGCACTCCAGTAAAGCGCTGCTGTAAGAATAGTTCACAGTTTCTCACTGGAGAGATTAAAGCTTTAATTAACAAATTATTTCTATCCCATTTATTTCTCACTTTTAAAAAGTGCCCTCCCCCCCTCCTGCCTTCCTCTGCACGTACGAAAACCGTGTCTTTCTCTGTCCCCGTTCCACTCTTTTGAGTGAAAGCAGTCTCAGCTGTTGTGTAGAAATGCCAGTTATCTATCTGGGGACTATAGAAAACAACATCATCAACTATTTATCATCCGTTTACCCATAGACCAAGAAACTGTAACTCACAGCAGCTCTTGGGTCACTTGCTATTGGCTGTCGGTAGGAAAGCAGCTTTTTTCTGTGCTGTAGGGAGATCTCAGGTGAGCCACAGCTATACCAGAAATACTTTCCTTCTCCACTCAAACTCATCTGTGCATACAGCCACAGACTCACACGAACATCCTCCACAGCTCCCACAAGAAAGATTATTAAGTGTTTAGGCCAGGCAATTTCTTTTTATTTTTTGTATTTTTTTACTTCAGTCTTGCAGCACCCTGGAGAGGAAACTTAAGCAAAGCCAATCTGTTTGGTTGCTAGCTATCCAGGTCCCGCTAATAATAACACCTTTCAGGCTAACACTCAATTAGATGGCTGGCTGGTCACTGTAACCACAGGGAAAGGGTCAGACTGAGGCCAGACCAGCAGGGAAAGGTGTGTGTTTTTGTGTGTGTGTGTGTGTGTGGGAAGAAAGAGCAAGAGAAGAGAGCGTAATGAGGAGGAAAGAAAGTGTCTCCGTGTGTTTGTGTGTTAGTATTCAGTCAGCAGAAAAAATATGACCTTTTCGTCGAGTGCGTCTGGGCCAGTAACATATGTTCAAGAACAGACTGCATGAGGCTGTTCACTTAAAGCGGTAGCACACACACAAAAAAAACAAAGAGCGCAGAGAGGAATACACGCAGCTAAATCTCCCTAACACCTGCAGAACGCCGTACATAAAATCCAACACACAAAATTTAATTTACAGAGACTGCATGAACATGTGTTGCAAGTGAAACGTGTCTGCTGCTCGTTCACCGAGGATCTTCCTCTGCAAGACCGAGTGTCATTAATTGTGCTTGTGTTGTATCACAAACTGCTAGAATGTAACCTGATAAGCTCGCAATTCTGTTGTCACATGTGCTGTACATATGGTAACACTGGAAAGCACAACTTGAGTAAGAAAGGGGGTACTGTTTACAGAAACCTTGCTATTTTTAAAGGAGACAGACGTTTCAACATCAGGACTTCCTTAAAAAAAAAACACACGTAGCTAATATTAATTTGTGTTCAATGAGACAAATATGTGAAACAAAGGACTAATAGTGAGTTAACCCAGACATTAATACCTTGCTACCTGCATGTGTCTTTCTGTGTGTGAATGCTTTGTGTGCCCGTGTATTGTATCTGTCCAGTGCCAGAGCCTGCTCCCATTAAGCCCAGTCCCGGCCCATCCCACCACCTCCACCCCGCCAGCCCCACGCTGCCCCTCTCCTCCTCCTCCTCTTCTGGCAATGGCAAGCGCGCCTCCTGCAGTAGCCAGCTCCCGACTCAGACTCCCCCTCAGCAGCAGTGCCAGTTGTCCTCTGCCAGTGCTCGCTACCCGCCCAGAGAGGTGCCCCCACGCTTCCGTCAGCAGGAGCACAAACAGCTACTGAAGAGAGGCCAGCCACTGCCTGCAGGAGCCCTCAGCGCTCTCACTATCTCCTCCTCCTCTTCCTCCTCCTCTTCACCCTCATCATCTTACTCTTCCTCTTCTACGAGTACCAGCAGCACTACCCCAAACTCTGCCACGTCCACTGCGGGCAACCACCACTCAGGTTTGTGTCAGTAGAGTACAAACATTGCCCCGGAACGGGTGTCTTGATTTTATTTTTATTTTATTTTTTTCGGTGGTTGCTGTGTGCAGATTATGACCTTTTAAACATCACTCAGCTTAATTTGTTTGTCTCTTTTGTGCACTTTGGCTGTATTTTGTTTGTCATTTTTAGTGAGATTTGACTTTATAAATGGATAGATGACAGATAGATTGATAGATAAATACACAAACACATGTTTTCATGACCCTTACATCCACTTGTTCCTTTAGCTTAATTTCAGCTTTCGGTTTCACTTACAGTTTTATGCAAAGTAGCATTGACAGATTTGCTGCATTGTAGGCACAATAAATTATAGTGATTATAATTGTAGTTTAACAGCACAGCTTTTCATCCTGTCAGCAAAAAATAATGACAAGATGCAGCACTTAAATTATGTGGGTAGACTGACCAAATTAAAACCTAAGACTCGAGTCTCAGAAGTTTTCAGTTGACTGCTATCTTTACTTCTGCTTTTCCCTTTCATGGGCTTTCTGAAAGAATTTCATTTGTGCTTTTTGTGCAGTTCTGGTGCTTGTAACACTGGCAATCATACCATTTTTTTTGGGTCAGAAGCCTGGGATAATCTTGTTTAGATGTGGTAGTCTAAGTGAGAAGAACATTGCTCAGTTGTTTTAGCCTCTGTGTTGTCTTTTTCTCGACTCACAGGAACATGTACACACTGAGACCGTTCTAGCCAGCGGTAGGATTTTAATGAACTCTTTGTTGGCCCATAAGATCACTAATACTGAACCTGCCTTAAGGGGTTCATTGTGCAGGGGGTTGCGTGTATTTGTATGCAAGTAATGTGTTACTTAACAATGGCCATGAGTTATTTATGTCATTATTCTCTGTTTTGGGCCGTGACTGTTTTTCTCGTCATATGCACACTCATGATTTTTCTTCTTTCGTGCCACCATGAACATATCCTGAGATACCCATCATAAGGCGTTTTATGCTTTGTTCTGTATTTCTTTTGTATGTAAAGCAATGAAAAATGTGTCTAATGTACACAGACACAAAGGTGGTGGAACCTAACACCCTCCAAAGTAACACAGGGTAACTTTAAAGACATGGATGTGCAGATGCTTGTGTAGCACTCCCATGCAGTGTTTTTATGGTTAGACCTTTGAGCTTGTTGTGAGAACGTCGGGCGCTCTGTGAACAAGCAGCTGTGGTGCATGGCATTGCTGGTTAGAAAACTACAACCCTCTGCATTACTGAGGCGACTGATCTTTGCGTGCTGCTTGTTCTCATGCCTATGGCACCGGTCACAGCATCAAACGAGAGCTTAAAGCCGATGCAGCCAGTCAGTGGATGCCTGTGTTCAAGTTGTATCTTGTTTATTAGATCTTGTATTGACACAATTTTATAGGGGGGGTTATGTTTTTCTGTATGGTTAACTATTTAATGAAAAGTGCCCGTTACAAAAGGTATTTAAACATTGTATATTTTGGCTAATTTCAGTTAGCCATATTTTTTGTTATTATCATCTCAGACACTGAAAATTCTTATTTCAGTTCATAATAATATAATCGTATTTCCCCTATGTGCTCAGCTGTTTAGTGCAGGGTTTCCTCAGCTGTGGGCCAGGATCTAAATTTGGCTGCAGGCTTAACTCACTGAAGAGAAGCAATATGTCTGAGCCTTTAGATTTGAAGAAATATGTTCCTTTGGGCTCCACGCTAGTTAAGATGCCCTGGTTGAGTGTATTAACCTATAATGTCCTTATTATTGTCCCTAGTTCAGCACTTGTTGTCCTGGTTGGCCTTTTACCTCACTCTGGTTTTCCCAGGGGTCTATGAGTACAACACAGCCTGTGGCGGAGTAGCCATTGGCTGGGTTTCCACCTCCTTTCCAGTCTTGTTCTTGTCCCGAGGGCCTCCAATCCGCAGCCTGTTCTTTTTTGTCTGCTCAGCTAATAGCCTCAAGCCAGAGGCCCTGTTGTTGCAATGATTCTAGCATACATAATTTAGAGAGTGGACATTGTAGCTAAATTCACCGCTCTGCAGTTTAGACCCGAGTCTCCTGCTTTATTCTTAACATTAAACTTTTGTGGTTGATGCCATTAAAAAAAAAAAACAACTTCCTTTAATTAATTTCTGTTGGTTGATCATGTAGGCACCAGTACATGTGCGACTCTGGGATTTGTTTATTTTATTAAAATCACGGCATCATGTTGTGCTCGTATATCTCCTTCAAATATGGAGACAAAGTTCCTTTTCTTTGTGTAGCTGCAAGTTTGGGATGAACTCGGTTCTGAGGACAGAGTTTTTGACCTTTAGTGGGGTTACCGAGGCCCTCAGGGATGTGGTGATGTGATGGTTCAGTTTTGTACTTGTGCACATGCAAACACAAACGCATGTATATATGTAATGGCTGTGCAGCAGCGAGAACACACTAGTCTGACCTAGTTGTGTCCTCTCCGATATGCGTCTCCCTTGCAGGCCAGCTGGCTCAGAGTTTAAAGGGGAACGTACACAAGTATACACATCAGCAAACAGTACATCAGGGTTACATGTCCTGAATGCACTTTTTTGAGACTTGTTTCGATTACCGTCAACAAGTCTTGGCTTGGAAAAACACAGTTGATTTAATTAATTGGTTGTATGGAATATGTCCAGATTTGCAATGTATAAAATTCCAGCATGCTGTCACACACTTCCCCGTCCCCAAAGTGTGAATGGCAACCCCCTCTAGATTTAAGAGCATTCAGACACCACACTCCCACATAACCTCTGCTCTCCCAACCCCATTTAATTGTCCCACCAGACAGAGACCCCCTGTTTCCTCTCCATCCCTCTGTCGCACCCACCGTCCCCATCTCTCCAGCTGACTGGGGACCATTAAGTAGTCCAGAGCAGCCAGCAGCCGCCCAGACAGGCTCCTCAGTAGCAGGTGCTGGAATGGGGGTTTCTTAAGACTGTGGGAACTGCAGCCCAACAGCTGTTTGCTGGTCACCCAGACAGAACGCATAGCCAGAAGGCACTCTGCTGGGTACTTGTAAAACACTTGGCCCTATCATTTGCCCCCTCTTTGATTTGCAGGTGAAGTGGTTTGGATTTTTAGTTTGCTAAGTTACAGGCTTCATGTGGATGTGAGCATTTAAACTACTGAAGTTGTCTTTTTCGATAAGCTTTAAAACGCTCGACAGTTTTCTAATTTTAAAACATGTAATGTTCGTCGAGCACCATGTGGGGCAAATGCAGATCTCCTTCAAATGTGCCACGATTAAGATGTAAAAATAACCACCCCTTAGATCTTGGTTATTTGTATGTTTTAAAGTCGTCAAATAATCACAAGACTGCTTGGCCCTAATGAAGCCAGGGAGGTATAGATTGCCCCGTGCGCTCAAGCTGTGACACACACATACGCACACAAGTGAGAGAACCCCCTAGTGGCTTCATTAATCCAGCCTCTGTCAGGGAAACCAGAGAAGTCACCATGGTCTCGCTCTCCTATTTTCTCTCTTCTCTCTGCAGAGGTAAACAGACATGAATGATGAGCTTTTTAAACCCCCCGAGACCATTCCCTCAGTCTTTCTTTTTCTCCCAGCTTCCGGAAAAACAAGTACATGCCGTCCTTGATGTGAGTGGGCGTAAAGCTCTCCTCAAAGAGAGAGATGGAGAGGGTCTATTTGGGGACAAAAGACTAATAAACGTCCCCTCCTGCTTTGGTTCTGGTTTTATGTCGTCCCACAGTTTGCGCTGAGAAAAGCAGGCTCGGTCTGCGGCTCCGAGTCAAGCTGAAGAAATCAGGTTGTTGCCACACCACCTTTCTTCGTCTGTTCATGCGTTCCCTTTCACCGTCTCCCTTTCTGTTCCCTTGCCAATGTATGCGCCAACCCCTCCCCCCAGACTTTCCTCCCATCTCTCCCTACCACCCTCTCTCTCTCTTTTCTTTCTGTCACCCTGCCTTTATTTTATTTGAAGGGGAGGGGAGGCATTTAATTCTTGGCTAAATGCCCATTTCCATGATGGCAGCTAAGTCTCATTATCAGGAGTTCATCTCTTGCTTATTTCTGCTTCAACTCTGGCAAGCTGGCATCACACAGTCGTCACTGTATTGTTTCTGTTGTTTGGCACTTTATTGTGACAAGCACTGCTGGTATTCTCACCATTAGGATCCTTTTTTTTTTGTTACTATTCAGCTGTAACCCAGTGGTTGTATAGTTCTATGTAGTTCTGTTCAGCGAGCCGACGTGCATTCACATGCATGGACTTGCACTTGCGTGTGCACAAAAAGGCCGTCTTGCTCTCTCTGTCGGAGGCACGACGAGCCATAGAGGGCCCCTTTGTTTTTATTTTTGACCCTTTTCATTCACGGAGTGTAATCAGAGACTGCCCTCCTAATTGCAACCAGGATGAAAGCAGCAACGCATTACTGACACATGATTGCAAATGGTGTATGAAAATAATTGTCCCCTCGTCTTTGTTTTTCGTGTTCAGCTTGCTTTCATGCCCCTCCCTCAAATCAATGATTGCCAAGAATCAGCAAGACCTTTTTTGGAATGTCTGGGAAGGCAGCTGAAAGGGGAACAATCGAGCCATGTTGAGGTGAAAGGAAAAAAAAGAGGCTGCTTTGCATTAGTCCACACATGCGTACATGTTGGTATTTACAGGGCTAGACACAATAGCATTAAAAACCTGTACAATGTAATGCAAGCCAGTAGTCCTGTGATAAATACGCCTTTTGTGGAGCCCATAATAGTGCGTTTTTGTTGAGGCTGATTTGCTATTTACGTAGCGCGCAGTTACACAAATGCATTCACAGAGCTTGTGCTGTAGGTCCAGGATACAGCCTCGTCACCCAGCGGCCGCAGTGTATTGCTTTTGCAGAGATTTCGTGGTTACACCAAGCAGCTTGCCGCAGACAGAGGACGTCTGCTGTTTCCCTATTCTTGCATGGATCTGTGTAAGCACTGAAGCCGGTGCACCTCTCCTCAGGTATTTTTCCACTCTTCCTCTCCCTGACTGACCCCTTTTTTTTTTTCGACTGCAGGCAGCACAGTCTCCCTTTTCTATCCTTTTCCACGTGGGGCTTTTTTGTTTGAAACCGCGTTCGTTCATAATGTCTGTGACAGGAGTGCTAAAACATCGCCGCCTTCCACACTTTGATTAACTTGTCATGTAGCCTATTTCTCCCATTCTTCAGGAAACAAAATGTGCATATGAGAGAGGAAGGTATGCCGGGTGGGTGTGGGGTCGGCTGAACCAAATAGAATTTTCCTGAGGCTGCAGTCGCCCAGCTTCTTGGACGGGGTCCAGGTCTGATAAAATGGCGCTCCTCTTTGCTCAGAAAGCTCGTATTGACAGAGCAGAAAAAAGGAGTAACACTGGTGGCTTTTTGGTGATACTGTTGTGTTTTAGTGTCTGCGTTTAGAAAACAAGCATCGAGAAGCCAGTGAGAGCTTGCAGTGGTAAAAGAAAAGAGCAGCTGTTTGAGTGTTGTTTATTCTTTTATTTACAATTTAATTGGGCAGCAAGAGGCATGCGCCAAATGAGTAGGTCTGAAATAGTGCCAAATCAGCTTTCCGTGACACTCGGAGACTTTACTCATTCGATGTTGCTAGCAGTGGCATTTGATACTGAACACCTTGATTTAAATGCATGTCTTATGTATTTGATAAATTTAGAGACTGAATATTCCATCTCAAAATGCAAAATAGGAATACATCCAACTACTGAAGCTTCTTATTTAATTACTTATCTATCTGTGGGTTTTTGATGGTAACATTTATTTGTGGTAAATAGTGTTTCATACAACTGTTCTCTCTTTGAAGAGAGGCGCTGTGGTAACATCACATGAACAGGGACTCTTCATTCATCATCAGGACAGTGGGCAGACTTTCAGTAATTATTGTGCTCGTCGAGGAACTTTACAGCTAATTAGTGTAATGGTATTGCGTCCTGGCGCTTCTCTTAGAGTCACTGTCCACAATAGACCCCCCTAGTCATGTTTCCATAATGTTTCTTGTTTTGTTTTAGCATTTTGAAGTATTGCATTAGAATTTTCACATTTTCAAAACAGAGTTCATGCATGTAGTGGGAGATGGAAACACCTTTTTTGAATACGTTCTGACGTAGCTAGCAATTTACTCTCATTACGGATCAGCTGCTTTCTGCTTCTTTTGTTGTCTTCGCTTCCAGACAACATGAAACGTGGCCAATACCAGCTGACATTAAAATATAATTACCACTCTGATTGAAAACTATTCTTGAATCGTTATCTCCATTTTACCCTTGTTTTGTTTGTTTCTGTTTTGGCTTAGCCAGGGGCTTTGTTTTTGGCTTTTTCTACTCTGTTTAATACAACCGTGTGTATTGTAGCGTATACTGCTGTCTTCTGGTGACACTACTGTTTGCTCCAGAGCTGTTAATGTAAACACTTTTTTCTTTCTTTTTTTTGCGATATGTCAAATTTTCAGCTTCAGATTTGCTTTTGTTACGACCTTCCTTAAAGGGAATGTGCAGTTAGGCTTTGGGTGTGCTAACCTCAGCTGCTATAAAAGGAAAACGGTAATAAAAGTAATCCATGGATGAATGCGTCCATTGTGACTGCGTGTAGTATACTCTGTAAATCCTGTTATTACTCTCTAAATGAAGGCTCACATCTGCCTTGTTTTTAATCTTCATCAACTTCTAGCTTTACTTTAAAAGAAAAGCACAGTTCCAGCAGATATGAGGGATCACTTCTGCTGTGATGTTTCAGTAGGTTTTTTTTTTTTATTATTCTGTTTTCAGCTGATTGCAAACTGACTGCAGACTAGTGCTGGTGCGTATGTGCGCGCCATCAGTCTTGACGACCCTGTGCGATAAGGCTGCCTGGGGAGTGGAGATAAGTGTGTTGAGGCAAAAATTTCATTCACACTCTCTCTGCGGCATGTTGCGCAGTATCTTAAAGCCACATATCTGCCAGCGTTTGTGTATGTGTCCCTACAACTCAAACAAATGGACTTTCCCCCTCATCTCTGTGGACTGTTTTGACCACTTGGTCTTTATCTCATAGGGGATAACTTCCAGCTTTTATTGAAATCACTGCAACAGTCTGACGGAAGTTAGTCGCAAAGTAATAGACGGCAAGGCAGCTAAATTGCCAAACGAACAAATGTTTTACTAACAGCAATAACTTTACAATTGAAGGTTAGTGAGTCACACTGACTGCAGCAGCTCATAAAGATAGCCATTGTGTGTTGGCCTTCTAATTCTTGTTGACAGTGACTGTTTTTATATACAGTCTTTGTTTGCACTTTGTACATACAACATTTATTAGGCCTTGATATTTTCAGGAAGAATGTCATGGTTGCATAAAAACACATGGTATTGTTAATGCTCTAGTATATGTACTGTTTTACTTTTGAAACGTACTTACCTTACACGGAAATTTTGAAAACACACTCAGATAAGTATCTTTTATTTGCTGTTGTGGTTGTTGTTTCAGAATACACATTAATCTTCTTTTCTCCTCAAAGAGTTACTGGATGATTTTCTCCCTTCATATGCTTGGTTGGCCTGTGTGCTGCTCATATTAATAGCAGTAGGTCTCATTGGTTTTCTAGCCAATTGCCTGAGGCTGGCCTAGTGGTCAGGGTGTTTGCATGCTGGATCGATAGCCTCCCTGCTCTCACCCACTAGCATTAATAAGATCATTGATTAGCTGCCTCCCACTGATTGATTACCCCTTTACTGCATCGACTCAGTCTATTATTAGTTCCCCATCTGATGGGATGCTTTTGTGCCTAATGAATTTGGTTGTGTGCGATACCACGCTGATCAGAGAATTGTTGTAAAAGCCAGGTTTTTTTTTTATAGTGTGGTTTGCAGATCCTGCTTAAAACGCTGGAAGTAGTAGGACAGAATTTACATGCAGTCCTTAGTTCCCACATTGTGATATATATAGATAATCCAGAAATATACAGAATCTAATGCATATGCATACAGAAGTATGTATATGCAGGTAGTGAGAAGCCAGCAGACACACACGATTATTCACAGAAGCTAGGAGGAAGTGTTTCGTGGTTTTCGTAGTGCAGTGCAGTTGGAGGAGGAGTAGGCCTGGTGGAGCGTAGGGAGTGATGGATGAGAAGCCGTCCTGGTTTCTTTCCAATAAATGAGCGGCGTTCCACTTGGGCTTCCCTTCACAGCCTCAGCCAGCGAAGCCACGATGGAGACGGATGGGCCTCTCACTGCTGGGTGTTAGAGGAGTGCAGAGGGGAGAGTGGGAGAAATTAGAGGGTGAGGAAGGAGGTGGGGGACGAAAGGGAGAAAGGAGACATGGACAGAGAGAGAGAAGTGGGGGGGAGGGGGAAAAAATAATACATAAGGGCATCAAAAGAGGGCGAAGGAAGTAAGAGGCACAACATGGCAGCAAGGGAAGAGGAAACGACCTGAAAGAGAAATCATGCAGGAAGTTAAGCTGAAAGTGAGGAGAAGGAGAGGAGGAAAGAAAGATGAATAAAGTGACGAACGCAAAGGCTCGATCTCCCTGTTTCTGTTTGGCTGACTGCACCGGGAGCAAGGATATATGGAAATGCCATAGCTGATATGACATGGAACACGCTTGGCTGTGCATTGTGATTATGTCTTGGATTGTGGAACGTGCAAGTGTGACCATCTCATACTGCCAAGTCTGATAGCTAGCATTAACCAACCAAGAAGATAAAATTGGTTCAGGAAACTAACTGTAGCCTGACTGTGAACCTACCTGTATTACATTATGTTCTATAGTCTAACCTAATGTATTTTTTCTCTCCCCACCCCTTTTCCCTATCCCTTCCTCTTTTGTTAACTTTTTCATCCTTTGTCTACTTCTGTCACTACATCTCTCCTCTATTTTTTACATTTCTGCATCTTCTGTCATTCACATCCTCCTTCATGTCTATGTTCCTCCTTTCGTTGTATCCCTCTTACCCCCTTTGTCCCAAACCTCTCCTCCCTTGTTCTCTACCATTTTTTTTCTTACAGACATATCTCTTCAGAGTGGCCCTGGTGCCCAGTATGAAATCTCTCATTGGGGAACCTCTGTACCGATTGACAGCCCCTCCAGTGCCAACAGCTGGGACAAAGTGATTATTGACGGAAGTGACACAGAAGCTTGGCCCTCCATCAGCCGCAGTAGTGACCCCAGCCACCCTGCAACACCAGAATGCCCCTTGGGCTCAGCTAGCTCTAACCTAGAGACCAGTGCTGTCACTACCACCAGTAGGAGTAGTTTTCTGAGTATGGCCACAGGTGCCGCAGGCCAGCAGGCCCACTATCCTTCTCTCAAAGCTAACAATAACATGATGACAGGACCTGGATCAACCAACACATTGGCAGGTAATAGAGGCTGGGGCTCAGATGGGAAACAAGATGGTATGAACGGTGGCCGAGGAGCGCCCAACAACTGGGGCTCTCCCAATTTTAACTTGAACCTCAACCCTAATGCCAACCCCTCTGCCTGGCCTGTTCTGGGCCATGAGGGTGGTGGAGGAGGTGGCATTGGCCCCAATGGGGTGTCCAATTCTTCAACTCTCCCGCCAGGTATAAATGGCAATGGAAACATGGGGAATGGGAGCCTGGGAAATGCGGATAATGGTGGGGGAGGTTGGGTTGGCATGATAAGTGCTAACGAAAATGATCAACAGCACCCTTCAACCAACACAAACTTGTCCTTCAATATGCAGCCTGCTAACCTTAACACTGACGGACCAAACCACACTAAACAGCAGCAACAAGCTCAGGAGCCTATGAGCCCTATCCATGGCTTAACTGGCTGGGGAGGCCAGTCACCCACTGAATCATCCCAGCTCAATGGGGACACAACAGGCAGCTCTGTATGGGGTAGTGGAGAAACCAAGGCAGCTGAATCCCCTAAGGACTCAGGCTGGGACTCAACTCCTTCTGGAGGTCTTTCTGCCTGGGGCCGCCAAGGCAGTGGTGGAGGAAGTAGTGGAAGTGGTGGCTGGGGTGACTGGGGAAAATCCTCTGGTGGTGGAGATGCAACTAAAGGCTGGGACTCAGTAGATGCTGGTAGTTCGGGCTCCGGCCAGGAGCAGCAACTTAGCTCATGGGGCCAGCAGCCTGGAACAGCCCCAGCAAGTGAAGATAGTGGGGACAGTAGTGAAGGTCGATCCCATCGCAGAGACAGACCCTCCAGCGTGGAATTTGCCCCTGTCCTACCCCGGCAGGACCTGGACCCCCGAGTGCTGAGTAACTCGGGTTGGGGACAGACCCCCATCCGACAGCACACTGTATGGGAGATGGAAGAAGTCAACTCTGATGATGGGAAGAGCACTAGCAGCTCAGACACTATAGGAGCCTCCAGCTCTAATGGTGGACCTTCATCAAGCAATGGAGGTACAATTAACCCCAACATTGGTCCCAGTCAGAGGCCTGGGTCTGGAGGAAAAAGTGACAGTGAAGGATCATCCTCTGGCTGGGGAGCCCCCCCACCTCAGCCAATCCAGACTGGATCAGGATGGGGCGACACCCCACATTCACTCAGTAAAGCCCCAAATGGCACTACCAGTGGCTGGGGAGATCCTTTGCCTACCAATGGTCCTAAAAATGGGGGCACACCATCCTGGGGTTCTGAGGACAAGTCACCCAGCTGGGATCAAGGAATGATGAAAAGCCAGCCGACTAACTGGGGAGAGGGTCCCAAAAGCTCCCATGGTTGGGGCAACAGTAATGGGGGCACCAATGGCTCCAGCACAGGGGACTGGGGAGAGCCAGACGTCAAGAAAAATGGGTCTTCGAGCAGCATGTGGGAAGGAGAAGGAGGTAATGGAGGAAGTGGTGGCTGGAAGGAAAGCCCTAGAGGAGGAAACAGAGGAGGAAGCTGGGGTAAACCTACTCCTGCTGTAAGTAACAACAGCTGGGGGGAGACCCCACGTGCCAATGGCCCAGTACAGGGAGGCTGGGGCTCTTCCAAGCCCCAGGAAAGCAGCAGCAGCAGCAGCACTGGCAGTGGAGGAGGTGGCAGCATTGGTTCTTGGGGTGGTCCCGGTTCTGTAAAGCAGAGCAACTCTAGCTGGGGAAATGCCAGCAAACAGGATCAAAGCATGGAGCCTACTGGCTGGGAAGAGCCCTCTCCTCCTTCTATTCGCAGGAAGATGGAAATTGATGACGGAACATCCACTTGGGGTGATCCCAACACCTACAACAAGACTGTCAACATGTGGGATCGAAACAATCCCAACGGTAACCCAAGCAACAGCGGCCCACCTCCCAGTAAGAATGGTGGAATGATTATGCCCAACAATAACAACAACAATCACTCTGTTGTCCCCGGCAACAACAATCACCATCACCCTCACCACATGCACCACCATCCCCATCATGGCCAGCCCCCAACTCACCTGCAACACCATGGAAACAACAATGGGTCACCCAACAACACCACCTCACATCCAGGTGCCGGCCCCCAGGGTAGACCTCCCCTCGCCAACCCAGGTATTAAAAAAAACTTACATTTTATGCTATTTGAAATTAAGCTAGTATTTGATACTCTGAAACTGGTTAAAAACAAAAGCATAATCACTGGAAAACCAATTAAAAAAGACAAAGAAATTTAAGATTGCAGTATGTTTCAAACTGATTTTCTAGAAATGTAATGTTTTCAAGATTGAGTATTTTAGGATTTTTTTTTATTTTCTTTCTGACAATGTAGCTATATTTTTTATTGGTATTGACAAGATGCCTGTCTCCTTGTCTGTCCAAAACGACACATGATGCTTAAAGAGAAAATTATTATTATTGACTCATTGAGTGACAAAATTACAAAAAACTTTGGCAACTAAGATTATTCCTTCAAAGTATTCTCACAGTGATTATTCTGGAGATAGTCTCAGAGGAGTTGACATCCTCACAATGGTCATAGATACATCATTAAAACAGTAGGCTTTAGTTAGTGCTTCAGCAAATTCCAGTAAGTCTTTGTGAAGACAAAGGCCATGTATATAGACAAGGCAGAGCTTTAATATTAGTCTCCCAATCCTTTTAGTTGTGAATGAGACTACTGCCCCCTGCTGTTTATCGTGTGTACTGCATCTACCATGAAGTACCACCTTAAGACATTTTTTTTATCAACAGTTATACTTAATCAGCCATCTCTACTGAAGCCATTATTATCTTGGCCTCTCCTGACCTTCCCACTTTCTCTCTTTATCCTCCTGATCATTCATAGACACACCACCCTACATTCTGGGGTTGTCAATGGCCTGCTGCTGGCAGGAGGAGGCTGGCATGAAAGGCTTCTATATATTGACAGCACAGCACACAATTGACAAGCTTGTTGTTTGTTGTTGACATGTCACTGAAGCTCAGCATTAAGAGCCTGAAAAGACTGCACAAGAAAAAAAAATTTAGTAGTAGCCATTGCAGTAGCTGTCATACACTTGAATTGTCAAGACACTATGATTCAGCTACAGGACATTCAAGACCTGACTTGTGCCTGAATATAACACAGACTTCAATATCTCACTAAAACCAAACTGGTTTCAGATATGCCCTAAATTCTAAATCTTACAAGCATAATTTGTTTAGCTATCATGGAAAGTCATAAGAGGAATAATATATAACTGATGATAATAATTACAGGTGGATGAAGATTTGTGCTGTAATGAGGGCCATGTCATTATTTTTTTTTCTAATTGACCTCTTTCTTCCAGGATGGGGAGAGCTTCCCGGTGTTCAGCCCAAGTCAGAGCCTGCTTGGGGAGAGCCAGCAGCTCCACCGTCAGCTGTGGACAATGGTACCTCTGCCTGGGGCAAGCCCCCAGGTGGGGTAGGAGGATGGGGAGATGGTGGCCATGAGACCTCTGGCCCCTATGGCAGGGCCAATGGACCCCCAGGTTCTGCACCTTGCAAGCCAGGTAATACTCAGGAGTGAATATTTGCAGACACAGTAATGCATGATGTCGACCATAGAAATTCAGCATGGCCTGGCACTGAATTGATGTCCTGGTGCAGGACTATGTTTACTACTTCTAGTTATTCACGTTCAAACTCTCCCATCCCAAACTGTTTGAAGGAGCAGTTTCTAATGTTGTTCGTTTTGGATGTGCTGGTGTAGAAAATACAACATACTGGTAACTGCATTAATATCTCCTAAAGATTACATGCGAGACCTGTGAGCATGACTTTCACCTTCAAGTGTGTGAAGTTTTGCTTGTGCATAGTTCAGCTGTTTTGGGTTGTCCACGATTTCCTGTGAAAGACTGAGAGTAGCCTGCCGTATGTGTGTACAACACACTTCGATTAGAGAAGCAACCAGGACGTTTCTGCAGACCTGTACCATTTCTGCCAATTGTGAACGTTTTTGTTAGTGCTACCAGAGTGTTCCTCGGATTAAAGCAATGCCACGCTTCAGCGGGTCTTAGTTATTTGTGCTCTTGGTTTGAAATGTTTGAAATAATAGGTGGTGTAGGAGGAAAGTACAGAGTGCCAAATAGCAACAGTGACACCAAGTGGTCAGATTGGAAAATGCCCACTGCTCACCCTCAGAAATAGTTCAAGTATTCTGAAGACAGGATACTTAAACTAAAGCACTGTTTTAGTGTTTTTTATTGTTGTTTTCTCACATCTTCATTCTGTATTTGATGTCTCTTTTTCAGGCCCCAAACCTATGCAAGATAGCTGGGGAAATGGAGGAGAGGAGATGGGTATGTCTACCGGCCAATGGGACACTGAGGATGGGGACGTATGGAACAGCCCCACCTCCCAGGAGAGCAGCTCTTCTTGCAACTCCTGGGGCAATGGACCCAAGAAGTGCCCAAGCAAGGTTAGAGAACACATTTAATGTTTGTCATAAACAAACCTTCTAAATGACTGCATTGTTTGGTAAAATTCATTAAAACAATATTTTGCTCTGTGTGTTTTCAGGGGAAGATGGGTAACAAGCCAGATGAGGCTTGGATCATGAACCGTCTCATCAAACAGCTCACTGACATGGGCTTTCCGGTATGGAAACTGTGTATATAGAAAGAAGCTTTTATGCTAGTGCAAAATACTAACAAGCTTTCTCTTGTTGATCCACTTGTGTAATTTTTGCAAAATAAATACGAATCATCCAGCCATCGATACATGAGAAAAGTGGTAAATCAGACCTTTTTCTATAATTAATGTTAGTTACAAGTGTGTGTTACCCATGTGTTACAGAGAGACCCTGCTGAGGAGGCACTGAAGAGCAACAATATGAACCTTGACCAGGCCATGAGTAAGTTCAACAACATACTTGTGCAGAATGTATGATCTTGTGTTTGTTGTGCAGATGCCTTTATGAGATGGTTTTATTCACAAATATTCAGCTTTTTTAAGCATTTCAAATAAACCAGTTCATAATTCGGTACTGTTGTGACAATTCAATTTTGGGGAATATTTAAGGCCAGTTCAGGCTTCCTGCATCCATGTGCGCAGACCGGTATGGGCTTTGAAAGCGGACTACACACGGTTCTGTTCATATTGCCATAAGTCTGAGCTGTTCTGCGCAGACGGTCGCATTGCCCCTTAAATTGGACGTAGAAAAAGACATATGGGGAAATGTTTCCTGGATATACCAGCTATTTACAGATTGGTCTGTCGCACCATGTCAATGATCATTTCTGAGGTGTGCGTGTTGAGCAGAGTAGGTACACACAGCACAGGATTTCTGCACAATCTTCTACACAAGCATTTGTTTTGAGCAACATTTGTTCTCCTTGTGCAGTTGGTGTGCTTGCAGTCTGACTGCGAGCAGCCGAAAATTTATGTCATGTGTACCCTCACAGACAAGTGGACACAGAAACCATGACTTGGCTGTGAGCCATCCATTTCTCTGAAATAGGATATTTGTTCTCATTTAATGCATTTTCTGCATTTGAAGAAGAAAAATTGATTTGAAGCGCGTCACTTACTAGATGAAATACAACCCCACTATGTTGTGACAATATAAATAAATATATCCACACACAGTGGATTTGTCTACTAGATGTGATAGTAACCTCTGCGATTCTCCTTTCTGCCTCCAGCCGCCCTGTTAGAGAAGAAGACGGACCTGGACAAGCGGGTCATGGGCATATCTGATTACAGCAATGGCATGAACAAGCCTCTTGTGTGTCGGCCCTCTGCACTCTCCAAAGACCCCTCCGACCGCACCACCTTTCTCGACAAGGTAAAAAAAAAAAATATCATCAAGCTTTGTCCAAGAATGTATTGGGAATGCTGACTTTTAGTTTGGTCACTACTCTGAATTATATTGTATGTATGTTGACATGTGACAAAGAAAGGTTAAGAATTATTATCCTTCGTACAAATTTTAGTATTAAAATCTGTTTTTTCATTTGTGTTTGTCACGTTTCTTCTGCCTTTATTCTGCTAAAGTGTTCATTTTGCTCTGTTCCAGGATGGTGTCCTGTCAGATGACGCCCCCCCATCACCATTTCTGCCTTCCCCCAGCCTGAAGCTCCCCCTGGCCAACAGTAGCCTTCCTGGGCAGGGTTTGGGACAGGGCAATCCGGGGCTGGCCATGCAAAACTTGAACAACAGACAGGTAATATTATATATTGTTTCCCCCCCCTCTGTTTTAATGTATAATTAAGAGTTTAAAATAGATAATAGCAGCATTATTATACATCATTTGTGACCCACAATTTAAGACTTGTTTCATTAACAACAGAATATATTGACAGGCTTAAACCTTGTGCTTGTCGCAATGTAAATGCAGAAGCAGTCATTTGTGATAACTGTATGCAGGATTCGAATGAACATGACGCAGTAATAGAAACAATGGATGAGCTGAATTCGATTTACACACATTTCTCTCCCACAAGCGCTCCCAAATCTCCTCTTTTGTGTTGCTCACTTATGTGTGTATGACCTTGCCTGAAGTGTCCATTGAAATCAGATAGTTATGCTCTATCAAGTATCACCCCCAGAGGCAGCCATGGCCCAGAAAAACTACAGTATGTCCTTGAAGTCCAAACAAAGGCACTGAATAGAAAGACCTCTCCACCAACACACAGAGCTGGAAATGTGAATGAAGCTGCCTTTTCCAGGATAATTGTTTTGGCCCATTTTATGATCTAACAGCTACCTGCTTTCTACTTTGTGTTCAGTGTGTGCTTTGGTGCACAAAGTGCGGTATCAAGCTGGACCTTGAGGCTAAATGAAAATGAAAAATGTTTTTAGATATTGGTATGTGAGCTGGTAATATCATCGACCCATGCTCGGCTTTTGAGTGCACTTTAACTTTTTCCTTTTTCGTGCGCTCATTCGCGTGTTGAACGACCCCATCGAGTGCATAAAGACTAGACTGCTTAACTCGTGACCGTACTCTTGAAATTGCTCGAGTGATTGTAATGCCGACTGGAGATTTCATTGTACCGTTGCGGCTCCTGCTTGTAGATACCCAGTGGAATGTTTGGCAGTAGTGGAGCAGCACAAACCCGGGCCATGCAGCAGCAGCCTCCTCAGCCACCAGTGCCACCTCTCAGCTCCTCCCAGCCTAGTCTACGTGCTCAAGTGCCTCAGTTTCTCTCCCCTCAGGTAAATGCACACACGGGCTAATGTTCATTTTGGTTTTGTTACATGCAGCTACATTATTTTTTAGTGTTGACCAGGAAACACAATTTGACACCCATCATTTTAAACAACTAGTAAATCTTTCCCCTGCATTTTGTCTCAATCCATGAGTTGTACTTTGCTCACAGTGGTTGTAAATTTATTGCATTGCAGTAAAGCTTAAATACTCTGCATATTGGATTTTACTCTACCAGCTTGGCTTATTCTTAGTTCTTGGCATAACTCTTTGCTTTGGACTCTACATCTCCTCTCTCTCTCTCTTCCTCCTTGCACACATGCAGCACTGACTAGCTTTCTCTTGCCAGAGGGTGCTCTTGTGCAGCTGTTGTGATTTGCAGTGACTTACTTGTCATCTCTCCTTTCTCCCTTCCCCGTTCTTCTCCTCCCCTTCAGGTCCAAGCACAGCTCTTGCAGTTTGCAGCAAAAAACATTGGTCTGAACCCTGCACTTTTAACCTCACCAATAAACCCTCAACAAATGACCCTGTTGTACCAACTTCAGCAACTGCAAATGGTGAGGCATCATCCTTTCCTGAGGCAGAGACTGTGTGTTGTGGACTTTTTTAAAGAGATTTGGGCTCAAAACTAAATAGAAAACTGACTAAACCAAGTGCAGAATGTCAGAACATATCTCATATTTGGTTATGTGGTAAAGTTAGTTTTTGATTTTACTTCTGATTTTAACATCTAATCAAAAATAGAGACTGTGTGCATGTGGCAGTGCATGATTATGGGTTAATACAACAAAACGTTTAGCTCCTGTCTCCTTTTCTTATTATCGATGTCGTCACCGTTCTGTATTTTTGTTTCCCTCGATTCAGGCGTACCAGCGTTTACAAATCCAGCAGCAGATGATGCAGGCGCAACGCAATGTTTCCGGCCCCATTAGACAACAAGAGCAGCAAGTGAGTTAACAAACGCACGATTACAGCAGCAAAAAAATATGATTGTGTAAATCTTTCCTCTCATGTGAACACTGACTCAAAAACACTGTGACACAACTTCAATTTTCTCAATAAATGTTTTTCAGTCTCACATGATACCATAAGAGAAAAACAGCATGCATTGGTACAGCAGGAGTTGCTCAAGCTTGTAGATATCTGCATGGGAACGCAGTACTTCTCACTGAGTGTGTGTGTGCAAAAGAAAAAAAAAGAGTTTGTTCCCCTTTTTTTTTTTTGTTAATATGTCTGCAACAAGATAAGGCCTGTTCAAAGAAGTGATGCTTTTCTGAGCAGCTGCTTGTTTCTCCCATGATTTTTTTTTCTAAACTTAAACCAAACTCTCATAGTCATATTTTTTTCTTATCACCTTGATTTGCTTTTTACAACTTTCACTACCATTTTTTCTCCACCACTTTTCATTTTCTTGTTTTCACATCCTTTCCTTTTTAATCTCATTTTCACTCGCTTCCTTGCTTTCTCATACATTGTCTTTGTTTTGTTTTTTTTACGACGGAGTAATTTGATTCATCTTTTTGCTTTTTCTTGCCTTCATTCGCCAATTCCTTTCCTAATACTGTCTTGTTTCAATCCTTCTCTTCTCTCCCAGGTTGCACGTACAATCACCAACATGCAGCAGCAGATCCAGCAGCACCAGCGTCAGCTGTACCAGGCGCTGCTGATGAAGCAGCAGCAACTTCCCTCTCATTCCTCCTCTTCCTCCTCTTCGTCCGCTGGTCTGCATCCCCCCGGTGGCCCTGCTGGAGGCCCTGGCTCCGGCAAATCAACCCTGGACCCCTTCACAGGCCCACACCAGGCTCCGGGCCTCTCCGACACACTGCACACCAAAGAGCCGCCGTCTTCGCCCAACGCCTACAGCACCTACCCTCTCTGTGAGTCTGGGATGCATGACACAGGGTTCAATTTGGGTTTTTTTTTTGCTGGTTACTTTTGCTTGAACTGTGACAACTGTCCCTTTGCACACCCCCCGTTTATACATAGGGCCTGATGCAGCACCTCACAATTCATACAGACAATATGTAAACTATTAGTAAACCTAAGACATACTTGCATGCATTTGTTAGTTGTTCATGTATTCAGATATTTTGTGTTTAAACTGATGCTGGATCTGCCAGTAGAAAACGTGATTATGTTGTGTTTTTGCTGGGTTTTGTTTTTTTACTAGCTGTGTTACTGGATTTGTCCCAAAGGATATAACGGATCTATTCTTGTGCTTTGTGTGTAGCTGGACTGAATCCAAACATGAATGTAAACTGCATGGAGGTTGGGGGTCTGTCCCTGAAGGAGCCCCCTCAGCCCCAATCTCGCCTGTCCCAGTGGACACACTCCAACTCCATGGACAACCTCTCTGGCAACTCTTCAAATTTGGAGAACAACCTCAATAAGCACGGTGCGTTGTAGTAACACACAGGCAAGCGTGCACTGCACACACTCCTACAAATTGTTCTGTAGTCACACATTTTTTTCACATATTACAGATTTTGCCCAGTCCTCCTGCACGTGCATAGTGATAACTGTGACACTGCTGAAACGTTAAAGCCTCTCCACATGAGAAACTCAGCGACTGACATTCCCCTTGTTGTCGCTTGTATCTTTCAAGTTTTGGTGTTTTTTTTCACACCTTGTGACTACAAGCTCATTCTCATCAAAGAATCGCTGCCAGAAACGCTTATCTTAGGTGTTAGAATGCCGCCCACAGCAGCGACATAGCAGTCAAAATCTGCTTGAGCTCTTTGACACCACTAATTTTGGGCTATAAACACGTAGATGTTCGGTCCTTAAACATCATATGTAATGGTTTTTTTCAACACCAAAAAATGCGTTTTTATATTTAGGTCAGTTTGGTCCCATTGAAATATGTCCACACTCACTGAGTGCACATAAATACTGCTGACCTCCTACCAAAACATAACTTGTATATTGTTTTGAGATGAGATACTGGTTAACTGACAAACTTGTCAACTCCTGCGCTTTCCATTGTAACCTTTAAGATATCATCAGGTTCTGTTTTTTTTTCCAAACAGCCCGTTTATGATCTTATACCTGGATAAGAATCTGTTTTCCATGCACACTTATTATTAATTCTCGTTATTTTTCCCCACGATGGAAAGATGTGTTGGCGGCCTTAACAGACACTTGGCTTATTATAGATATCGCATTCTTTGGCCATGTTTGGCAGAAGCTGATGATTTGAACTGGAGTGAGTTAAGAGTGTGAGACACAACATCATGATACTAACTCCTATATGGTTGTATTGTTTTCTCACTTGAAAACAATGAAGTGGTCGCCTGTAATCATGTTCTCATCCTTCAAAGCCTACCTAAGTTAATTTGAGTCTCTCTTTTTTTTTTTTTTCTTTTATATATGCTAGGTGCCATATCTGCTGCCTCTTCCCTGGTCCCCCCTGGGAAGCCTCCCCAGCTGGAGGACTCATACAGCCCTTACAATCTAATCTCCAGCTCTGAGTCCCCCACCAGCCCCCTGGTGCCCCCTGATAGCTGGGGCCAGGGCAAGAGCCCCAACGAAAAGATCTCCAACGGGACCAACATTAACTGGCCCCCAGGTGAGGATGACATACAAATTGTGCTTTTACTTTTCTTGCATCTGATTGTTCAGTTTACAGTAGCTGCTCATTTTCTCAGTTGTAGATTATTTTTATTATAGTCAAACCTGACGTGGGGGGCAGTTGTGAGGCTGCAGTCAGCACTGAGTTGACTGCAAAAGAGTTGGAATTGACTTGCTTTGAATTTGCTAGCGGCTAGAAACACGGCCTACATTTTGACTTGACATAATAGGAAAAGAACAATGAGCATGGCTTTGTCCTGGGTCACAACAGCAGCTTGTGTTGAAGCAGGTGATGGGTCTACAAGTAGATATAGAGGAAGAGATAAACAGATGCATTCTGGGCTTAGAACAATATATTTTTTAGGCTGTCTTCATAGGTTTCACATGCATCACTCCAACAAGGAACAGGTTCATTTAAAAAAAAAAAATCTTTTCTGCAGTTCTTGCATCACACTAAGAATAATTTTTGAGGAAAACAGTTTCTTAAAGGTTTATTAGATGTGTTCAAACTGTGGTAAATTCATGAAATGACACTTTTTTAAGTTCCTTAAAATCTAATCTTGTCGTCTCATTATTGCTCCACTCATTACCCCGTCTTTATGTTTCAGAGTTCTGTCCAGGGGTGCCATGGAAGGGCCTTCAGAACATCGACCCTGAGAATGACCCCAATATGACCCCTGGCAGCGTCCCCAGCGGTCCCACCATCAACACCAACATCCACGACGTCAACAGATACCTGCTGCGAGACAGGAATGGAGGTATGGAAGGCCACAAACATTAGTACAACCCTGCAAAAAAAAAAACACAGCCATGCTAAATTACATGTGAATTCAAGATCACTTCCACGAGCTGATGTGTGTAACTGTTTCTGCTACATCACAGACCCCAACATCATGTGCTTGCGCTACATACATGAACTTACCTGTTTTGTTTTGTTTTTTTTGTTTTTTTAATGTCTGTTTCTGTTCACCACACCGTTATCTCTGTGACCATATAGCCACTTCCCCAGCTTCTCCACCTCCGAACGGCTCTCTGCCTCCTACCAGCAGTGATTGGCCAGTCAGTGGCTACTCTAGCTCTTTCAGTCTGTCGTCCTGTGATGGAGACAGCTCAGGTACACATTCAGAGTATCTTACCCCCATGTGTGGACCTGCACAACCTCTCCTCACCCATATGGGAGCCCTGACACCCCGCTAGGGTTTCTACTTGTCTTGAACCTTCCTCAACCCCTGACCTGTATTTATGACTTTTCTTCCTTCAAGTCATACCTCAGCTTGTTCCTTCAGTGCCTTTAGACCACACCTTTACCAAAACTAAGATAGCAGCCTCAAAGTGACCCTCAACCTTTGTGCCAAACCCACGAAAAACAACAAGCCTCACCCAGCTGGTTGTAATGTCTGTACACACCCTGTATGATGTGTTTGTGTGCTTGAATACAGGAATTCATGAGAACGTTCTTTTTTGTGAATGTCATTTGTGATGGTTTTTTGTTAAACATACAAAACTATTGCAATTAAATTTATGATAAAACTGAATTTCTAAACTATTATTTCAGTGTATTTTCCTTAAATGTTCATGGGAAGGCAGGGCTTGCAATGAGCAGAACTATTTAAAGATCTTTTCTCAATCAACATACAGAGGAGACTTCCAGTTGACCTAGTTTTCTTTTACACCACATGCAAACAAGCAATCATTTATTGTGTCATGACTGAATTCACTTTAAAACACAAATATTCCAGGTGAATGCAACTTTTATCTGTTTATTTCAAATACATCATCAGTGTTTTACAGATATTGAGAAGAATACATTTTAAAGTTTTCCTAAAGGCTTTTATTGCTGTTTGCCTCTTTGTTTGCACCTTTTAAAGCTAACCCCAGAAGAGGCTGTTACATCTTAGATCTACATCTGTGCATATTGTGATTTTCTCTTACCTCTTCTCTTTCTCCACCCTTTGTTTAAAGGTAAACTGTCTGACATGAAATCCACCTGGTCTCCAGGACCCATCTCTCAGAGCCAAGCCTCTCTGTCCCACGAGCTGTGGAAAGTCCCTCAGGGGCCACGCAACACCACAGCTCCATCACGGCCCCCGCCAGGCCTCACCAACACCAAGCCCTCCTCCACCTGGGGTGGCAACTCACTGGGCCTGGCCCAAGGCTGGAGTGGCTCGTACTCCTCTGGTGAGGACTTGTTTTTTACTATGAACCCAAAACTAAAATCAGATATGAAACTATCACACTCAAACTCATGCACCACTCCTCCATAGTTTTCAACCAATCTGCAGTTTTAACTGTTTTCTAATGTGTAATATTGGGAAAAAGGGGAAAAGTACAGGCAAAAGCTTTGCAAAATGTATAGTATAGGCTGCTCAAATACTTGCTTTACATAGCTACGTGTATTGACGCTTGAGTCCCAGGTTTCACTTTGATGCAGCACCAATTCACAACCTAAGTCATCTCAAGAAACTTCACATATTAAGCTCAAGACCTTGAAATATATTTATAAGGAAAAACTGAATAAATTTAGTAGTTCCCTTTGAGCAAGCGCTTCAGTTTTCACAGCGCTGCCTTATCGTAATTGCTATATCAGATGGTGCTAAGAATTGTTCAGAAATTGCTGAACTGAAACCGTTTTCGACATCTGTTTTTGACAGTGAGAATAAATCAGTAAGTTATCACTCACTCCGATGACTTTCACACGCATCAAACACAAATGTGAGTGAGGATGCTTAGGTGTGGTGCTGCTCGCACCTGCGACTGTGCAGTCACAGCGTTCGCCTTTTACGCTAGCTGAACACACCCTGCTAAACTGACATCTTGAGGTTTACCGGCTGTGCAACAAGAGCCACATTTTAGGAACGCATGTGTGACCTTATTTTGACATGACACATCAACCTTCACCGAGCAAAAGGGAAAAACTACTTTAAGCAGCGCAGACGAGTATTGTGTGCTGAAGCAGATCGGTATCGGTGGAAGGCGTGACAGCACACTTTGTAGTTGAACTCTCCGACCTCGAGCACAGAGCTACCTGGCCTTTCTGTACGTGCATCACAGGGGCAAAGAAACCTAGCACACATGATCTCACAGGAAATTTCATTTTGAAAGTAACACTTTACCAGGGAATTACCTCATAAGGATACTGTCACTCTGTCACTTTGCTCTGGCCCAGTGCTTTAAGGAGAAATTGACCTGTATCTAACCTTTCAGACTACCTTTATTGTCCCTGGAATAACGGGTTGAAACAATATTGCAGAACATTTTTACTTTTCTCCAATAAAACTCTTCCTTCTTAACATCATATTTGACTATGTTTGCATTTCTGTAACAGAGGGAACCACGTGGAGTACCGACAGCTCCAACAGGACCAGCAGCTGGCTGGTGCTGAGGAACCTCACCCCACAAGTATGTCCTCTGGTCTGCTCAGTGTTGGTAGATGGAAACCACAGGGTATCTCATAGAGCCAGTATGTAAATATGAGGATTTCAAGGATGGATCCGCTCAATCATCGAATGATTGATCTGAATGCTTTAGCACCAAAAATGGAACAAATACGATCCGGCACTTTAATTAAAATGCTTACATGGAGGGAAGGAAGTCAGAGTAATGTGGAAGAAAACACTAAATAAATCAATGAATCACTGAAATAAAGAGCAGACAGTGTGTGAAATGAATAAACAGTGACTGGAAAATACATGAATAAACTTTAATATTTGTTCTAACAGCATTTTATTTGTGTGTGCTTTCGTTTTCAGATTGATGGTTCCACTCTGCGGACCCTGTGCATGCAGCATGGCCCCCTGATCACATTCCATCTCAACCTGACCCAGGGGAACGCTGTGGTGCGCTACAGCTCCAAGGACGAGGCTGCCAAGGCCCAGAAGTCCCTGCACATGTAAGCCTCAGCAAAGTCGCTTACATCAGCCAGAAAACTGAAACATAATTTGATCCTTTTTTTTTGGTTTCTTGACGTGCGCTGCCTTTCTCGTAATAGAAGGAAGCAGCGATAACCGAGAAAGAAAATGGGGAACGCTTCAGGAAAACCCCATCTTCCTGTTTTCCTTTTGATGTCTTCCCAGCTAACAACAGTTCAGTGTTTTGAATATGGGCCGGCAGCGTTATTTCTGGATCTAGACGGTCACATGGAGGAGGAGGAGGCGGAGAGTCGTGCTGTCGTCAGCTCTGCATTATAATTACAGTGATTGTTGTAATCAGTTTATGGTGGAGGGGAGAAAAGGACCACTGTGGAGCCAGACTACAGAAACACTTGCTGTGATATTTCTCCAAGTGTCGCAAGAGTCCCTAATTTTTGCGTCGCTAATAGTGGGAGCTGCTGCCGCTGGTTGTCATGGAAACAAAACACAAGACGTGTGACCCACTTTTTTTTATCAGCAACACGAAATGTGGTTACAGCAGTAAAGCACAATGATGAAGTGAAGCCCCACATATATATATATAACAATGGCGGTTTGTTCCTCCATAACGTGAAGAACCTTTTCTCTTCATCAAAGCCGATCATTTCTTATTTTTGATACTAAAACCAATGATTTTCTCTTTTTTTTTTTCCTCTGTAAGGTGTGTGCTTGGAAACACCACAATCCTGGCGGAGTTTGCCGGCGAGGAGGAGGTGAACCGCTTCTTTGCACAAGGCCAGTCGCTGGGGGCAAACACCACGAGCTGGCAGGCCAACCCGGGAACCAATCAAAACCGGATGGGCGGAGCGACGCAGTCCCACTCCATCGGCCAGTGGAGCAGCGGCGGCGGCGGCGGCGGAGGCAAGGCCAGCGGAGGCGACCTGCTGTGGGGCGGCGTGCCGCAGTACTCCAGCCTGTGGGGACCGCCCAGCGGAGAGGACGCCCGTGTGATTGGGAGCCCCACCCCCATTAACACCCTGCTGCCTGGAGATCTGCTGAGTGGGGAGTCCATGTAGGATGATGCCACGATACACTAACCAACCAACCAACCAACCTACCCACCCACCGCCACCATGTCATGTAAGCCAATGGTGGAGGGTGGGGCGGAGAAGAAGAAAAAAAAAGCAAAACAACAAAAAAAAATTTCATTATGAACAGGAGCAAAACCCAAGCAAATCATGTGGCGATAATCAGTATCAATTTGAACTGTTTTTGAACTGTGAATTGTGAATCAGGAGGCTGGGGTCCCCACCACACAGACTGCAGACCCCAGTCCTTCTGCTTTACTTTGGTCCTTTTTTTTTATTTCTTTTACCATTTTTGAGGAAAAAGAATCTACTTTTTCTTTTTCCTTTTGGTATTTTTGAAATGCATCATATGAAAAAAACAAACAAACTGAAATGAGACACAACACAAAGAAACCTTTTAAGTGTTTTTTTTTCGTTTTTCCATAAGTATACATTACATTCTGTGTGAAGTGTTTTTAGGAGAAGCAATCAAAGCTGCCATCTGAGACTTTCCTTTTCCCTCCAAAAAAAAAAAAAAAACAAACGAGAAAAAAATCATCCCAAAATAAGACTTAAGACGACCATTCCCAGCATATCCATGGCCAATGATGTTGTTCAAAGACCTTTACTAGTTACGTTCATGTTTGTTTCTCAGCACTAATATTAGCCTTAAGTGCTCTCTGGCCCAGGTCCTTCCCAAGCCGCCTTTTTTTTTTAAGTTTGTTTTGTAACTGAAGAAATAGCTGAAATCTTGCACAGTTTCACCTCTGAGCCAGCAAGTGGTACAGGACATGACTGGTGACCAGCTCTGTCACTGGGCAGTAAGAAGGCCTGGCCACGTGACTGGCGCTACCAATCATCTGCTTGATTATTTTTAATTTTTCTCAAAGGGATTGACACAGCTGTTAAGTGTTCTCTTTTTTTTTTTAGGTCGAAATCCGAGCAAATTTTTTTTGACATCTATCACAACATATAAGCTGAGAGAAGATTATTTGTCAACCATGCTGCGTGTGTTTGTTTTTTTTATGGTTCCGTATGTCCGGTGGCACCTAATCATTGACGTCTGCGAGCCCAGATCCTTCTGGTCACCTTAAACTTGGAACCCAGGCGTTTTTTTCTGGTGCTTTGTCCAATTTTCTATTGTCCGATTTGTTATGAAGCCCAGCAGCCGCTACGGCCAGCCAATTTTCGGAGATAAAAAAAAACACAAAAGGAAGGAAAAAAAAAACTAACGCAATTTTACTTTAGAGTTACATTGTGCAATATACACCATAGACCTTTCTTCCGTCCATACTCGATGTCCACCGGAACTCGTTTTTGTTATTTTTCTTGTTTTTTGATCGATGCTGATTTGTTTCAGCACAAGACTTTGGAACTTCAGAAAAACCTTACCCCTTTTCAAAACTTGGATTCCCTCCAGGCCGCCAATCTCCCTGAAGCTGTTGGGAAAACTCTGCAAAGAGGAAGATGCAGCTGTTGAACTGTGCATGCGGCAAACTGTACTGAAAAAGTGACACTGGGTACACAACGATGCACACTTCCTCTCTGCGTGCCACAGCCACACCCAACAGAGACTGAAACCGCAGCGGGATTGGATGGTTCTGGGTATCTGGCACAATACCAAATAAGAGGGGTTTCTCCTAATGCAGTAGACCTACGAGTGTTCCTTGCGTTTGGTACTGTACAAACAGAAGAGACTAAGACTTTTATAAATTCAAAGGGTTTTATCATAGCACTTATGAAGAGCAAATCGCTTCAACTGCAATCCAATAAATCAAAAAAAAAAAAAAACGACAAAGGAGCAGCAAAAACATTGAAAACAACGACAAAAAAAAAGAAGAGAGAAATGCTCTTTTATGTACTGTATCTATTCCATGGAAATGTGTCTGGCGTTGTTCCTCTGGTAGCAGGATGAAGGGAAACAAAACTGAAATGTACCATTGGACTTTGGGGGAAAAAACTGCAGTCTCATTTTTATTTTTTTCTCCTCCTTCTTTGAACTATATCAAAGTGAATATCACTGTTACTCCAAAATCGTTAGCCTTGTTCTGTTTGGAGGCACTAGACTTGCAATGTCAGCTGTCTCTGACACCCGCTGGCCTTTCAGCCAGTCAGTCGGTCGGTCGGTCGGTCGGTCGGTCGGTCGGTCGGTGGGTGAGTCAGAGTGGGGGTGGGGGAGTGTCCACTGAGTGCCTCTTTGCTGTGGTCCTCTGGGTGTCAGGCGGCAGCCCCACAGCGCAGCACTTCCTCCTGGGCTCCGTTTGACCCTTCCTCAGTCTGGCAAGAAAAACAGCTCCTCCAGGACTGACCAATCACGGTTCTCTGCCACACACACGGCATCTCCACCGGGGGGCCCACCGCCACTCCACCCTGCTGTCGTCCTGCCCTCTCCTCCCCCTCCTCCCCCCACCCCCACCCCCACCATCTCTCAGTTCTTTGACACAAAGATCACTTTAGCTGGAAGATGTAATAGTCATATTTCTGGAATTTTTGCCAGTGTACTTTGTATTTTTTGAAAAAGATCATTTGACTTTATTTTTTTTTTCTCTCTCTCAATGTGTTCTATTGTTGTTTTTGTCTACATGCAGTGGTCGACAAAGTACTGGCTGCTGAACTAGCCCTTCACTGTTCATATGCAGAAACACTTTGGTCAGAGGTGCCTCTGTATGTTCATCCTGTGTATTGAATGCAAAATGAGGATCAATACTACAGACCGTTATTGATTGTCTATTTGTTTTTAAACTGATCATGCTTTTGTGTTTGACAGTATTCTGTAGTACTTCCAGGTAGTATCTTGAGATGTGTTTAAAAAAAAAAAAAAACGAGGAAAAAAAACCAACCAAGCGGAGGTGTCTCAGACGGGGATGTGGGTGTTTGTCGCTCCAAGCTGCTCCGCCTGCCCGCAGGCTGTCCCCCCTTGCCCTTTGCCTAGCTGCTACGCTATAACCTCCTCTCCTCCTCCTCCTCCTCCTCCTCCTCCTCCACCTCCTCCACCTCAAACCAGACCCAGTAGCCCTCCCCTGACCAGGCACCAACAGGCCCTCGTATCTGTTTCTATGCAAAAAGACTAGAGGCTGGGGCCCTTTACAGCATGCCAAACCTGTGACTCGGGAATGAGCACTCCTCCCAGAGCTTGGCGTCCCCGTCGTGGCGTACCAATTGTCCCCCCGTGCGCTGTCCTGTCAGCACTTCAAAACGGCCGCAGTTTCTGTAAAGTCAGGCTAAGCCGCCAGAACACTGTCACGTACTAAAGTCAGAACACTTTATCAAAGGTCGGCCTTTTCTCTCTGCGCTGAAGACACACTTCTGTCCAGCTTGATCTCAGGGTAGGGGAGTTGATGATACCAAGTATGAGATGCAGCTCTCCGTATCTGTCCTTTCTACTGTGAGAGCATAGTCTTAAATTCAAAGGCCATCTGCGCAACAATATGTACAGACCTCATGCCTCGAAATTGAATCCTTATTGGACGGGGAAAGGCTCGTACTGAGTCCCTTTCCCTCACAGGTGGCCTATTGTAACTGTTTGGGGGGGACATGATTGCGTGTAAACGATGCCAACGTGTTGTGCCAATATAAATTTGCTGTGTCATACTGTATCTTTATAGAGAGCACTTCTGTTACCTGTTCGGAGGAGCTTCGATAACCTTTGCGGAGGGTGCAGCGGGGGACAGGAGGGATCAAACAAAAGGGCGGCAGCATCACACCCTTCAGTGGCTGAGATTTTTTTTTATGCTTTTTGTGGGGAACGCCCCGTGCTACGGAGAAAAATCTTTACTCAGTTGGGGGTTCCAGTTTGCTACAGTGCACAGTTGATGATGGGTAATCCCGGGTACATATTTTTTTAAAACCAAAAATGAAAATCGCATTTTAACGTCATTTTTATGAAGTTTGACATAAAAATCTTAAAAATGCTTAAAAAATCTAAATGAAAAAAAAACAAAAAAACAAAAAGATCTATAATATGTTAAAGCTCTGCACTTCTAGCTGAAACGTCTCCGGCCGGCGGCCTCTGCTGCCACCATCTAACGGGGCAGGGCGCTCGGCCGGGGTGCCTTTTTTTGTGGATGCTGTATTTATCTCGTTTTATGTTTGTGTCCTGCTCAAAGCGGGCCCACTGAACTGTACATTTCCACAGACCCAGATGGCTTGGGCCCACTGTATCAGCCTCACTCTCTCTTTCTGCAGCAGCAGGACGGGAGAGGCACATTTCAAGAGGTACAAAGTCTTAAAATAAAAAAATTTAAAAAAAACACAAAAAAAAAAAAACAAGAAAACGGGAAAAGGCTACCTTTCAGGACTTGCAGTCCTGCAGCACACAAGCAAAAATCACTATTGCCTGTTTCTGTAACTGCCTTGATCCAAGCTCAGACAGACCCAATAGCCGAGGACCTCCCAGCATCCTGTACTAACTGGAGAACCCTGACAGTGAAGGGGGTTTCCCATGCTGCACCAGCATCGAGAGGCTCTCCTCTCTACAGCTCTGTTCTAGATAGCAGTATATATGTATCCACGACACATATATATATACTGCCAGTACGGTGTGTGGTATCACCTCTTCAGACTTCTTGGATCGTAACCTCTGACACTTTTCATTTTTTGTTTGAAAGGTCTTGGTTTCATACAACTGAAAAATGAGCAATATGTATTTTCCCCGCAAATAAGTGATACAAAGGAAAGAATTTGGGGTCGGGTGTAAAACTGATACTTGATTGATCGAAAGCGTCGTCTTTCTCACGTGGAGTCGGATATGCACGTTCTGGTTTTGATGACATATATTACAGTACTCTGAAGTGCTTGTACTGTATATGTGTGTATTTGTTTGTTAATTAGCCTGTCTAAAAGCCCAACGTGAATCACCTGGTTTGATGCATATTTTACCCAGTTGATTAAAAAAGAAAAAAGAGGAAAAAAAAGATCACAAACATATCAAAACGAAACAAAAATATTGAACAGAAATACTTGAATCATGGAGCGCCAATAACATAATGTGAAGTCAGTAATTATTCTTTTTATTTTATTTTTGTTCTCTCCATCTGACAGGTACACTTAGGGGCTTTTAGAGAATATCAAATATGTAATGCATTAAGTTACAAATACAAAATCTTTGGAAAGAAAAAAAAAAAGTCATCTTAGATGTGTGCTTGAAAGTCAGATGTTTGAATGAATGCGTGCTCAAGAAACTGTGTGTGTACAGGGCACATGGCCTGCTGTTATGTTCCACTCAGTATGTTCTATTTTGTGTCTGTTTTTACCTTTTTGTTTTTGTTGTTGTTGTTCTGTCAAAAACTATTCTGATAGACATTGTTATCTTCTAACGTTGCACTGAGTGTCTTCTACCCCTCACTCAGCTAATCGTAGGTAAACGAGTCTAAGTACGGAGGGGTGACGGTGACAATTCATGTGTACATGTTTACTCAAGGACTTTTTTTTCATTCTATCTGTAAAAAGTTTATCTACCTTATAGTGGCTTTTATTGTGGAATAATCCAGTACAAGGATTATCATTGAGTATTGCACCATTTTGTTCCAATTATACAAAAAAAAAATGTAGATTCAAAAAAAAATTTAAAAAAGGAAAAAAAGTACTAAAAAAAACTATAAAACAAAAAAAAAAAGGGGAAAAAAAAAACAAAGAACTGTGGCCATAGATAGCTGTAGAAGGACTAGTAATCCCGACGTTAACTTCATGGAGAAATGGAAAGGGATAGTGGGAAGTGTGGGAGGTGAGTTTGTTACAAGACTCATTTCAGAGGTGCCTATCTTTTCTGTTCTTGTTTTGCAAAAGCCACCCGTCGTTTACAAAGCATTTCATTTGTCTGAAGTTCAAGGAAATAGGAATTTATAACAGGAATGTTGTTTAAAAAAAAAAAAAAAAAGGACAAATTTCATCTTCCATCAAAAATGGACATGAAAATCTTGCAAAATGAAGATTTATGCTACTTTCAGAACTCTGGGATTGATCAGTGTTGTCATATTTCAGTTTTTAATTTCTCCTTCAGTGTCGATAGACTATCTCTGTATGTATCGAGTTGTGATTTTTATGTTTTCTGTAATACTGCGACGCAGTTTGCTCACTATCTTGCACACTCATAAAAGATGTGGATTTTGTCTCAGGAAGGCCAGGGTTCCAGATACCAACTCCATCATTTCTAGGTTTAATGTTTGTGTGAAAAGAAGAAGAAGAAGAAGAAAAAAAAAGCAACTGAAAACTATTAAACTCCAAGCAAGCACTGAAGTTTATGAGTTTAACAGAATATAGAGAGTACCATTGTTTCTTTAAAAACAACGAGAAAAAAAAAATGTTCGTAGCAAGTTACATATTTACCAAATAAGACTGAGAATCAACTTTGAGAAAAGTGGAACGCTTTACATGTGAAATCTAAGTAGAAATTGCTTTACATTTAAAACAATGATCAATGGTTTTGATTGTCAAAAAAGACAAAAATGCATTTTGTATGTTTTGACTTTTGTTCTTTTTTTAGTTTCCATCCTGTAGTTCAGGAGCATCGTGCAAGACTTTTTTCTTTTTTCTTTCTGTTTTAAATCATCTCTCCTGTCTGTTAACATGTCTGTTCCTCGTAACAGGTATTTCAATAGTTGAGAGATTTCTTAACATGTAACAGATGGTTTTCAGAGGCAGGTAGACGTGGAGGAATAAAGCTGGTTTTTAAAAGGATCATGATCTATGCACAAGTGGGAGGGAAGAGTCCAAACCCTGCTGCTGTACTGCGGGCGTTTGTCGACTCAGACTCTGGGGTTCAGGGTTTGATGTAGGGTTGATTTTATTTTATTTTTTTTTTGTCTTTTGCTCAAATTTCTTCCACTCCCCCCCTCCATCGTCATCTAATGTTTTAGCAAAACTTTACATTGCGTCGTCATGCTGTGTAATCCTTAACCAATGAGCGCTTATCCTTCTGCTAAAGCACTGTGGGTTGTACTGAGAAAAAGCCCATGACTTTTAAAAGGCTGTCTGTTTTCTAAGGGGAGGAGGGTGGGTGGGGGAGTGGGGGTACTTTTGCCTTTGCCTTTCTCTTTACTTTGGAAAAAACTAAAAAAAAAAAAATCAAACAAAAAAAAAAAAAACATTAAGGAAAAATGTCTGTAACTGAAATACAAAGTTGTGGCTTTTAATGTCGTTCTTTTTTCTCCTCATAGAATGTGATTGTTAAAGACATGCACCGGAAAAAAAAATGTTTCCATTAATTATGGAGCTTCTTTCGGACTATATTAATAAATTACAAATTTTCTTGGCTGTTATCGGGCGTCTTGTCCCTTTTTTTTTTTTTTTTATTTGTGTCACCTGTGAAGTACAATGATGTCATTTTCTGATTTATACAGAAGTGGATGTTTGGAGTCAAATGAACGAGCAGCACAGCTTGATGGAAACACAATCTTTTTATATGGTCTCAGCATTAATGTGAAAAAGCAGTTTTTCAGGCACTTAAAGTTTCCACATGGAGCATAACAGGGCAACAGCTTTACGTCCACAAACATGACTTTCCATTGCAGTGAGAGCTAAACATGTAAAAGTTGTAAACGCTGCTGGGTCACTCCATCAGGGGCCTTCTGC